ATTTTCAAGAGTTATGCTCGAAGTTCTGAGAAGTCTATGATTAAAAATTGTTATAAATGCAGAATAAACAATAACATATTGTTTGATTCTGTAATCATATTTAAAATCGAATACTAAACGAACCAATAAGAAAACCGAGGCGAAAAATAATTTAAAATAACCTACATATGCTTGCTTTAAAAGCATGAAATATTATTATTTCTAAAATGAAGTACTGAATTAACACATCAATTCAAAACCGAACTGAATAATGCATAGAATACTTGTACTTGTAGACACAAATGTCCTGTATATGTTATGCATTAAGTAGTTTTTTTATCCGTTCACAGGGCAATTTTATGCAGGGAACGAGCTCCCCTCGGACAAGTCACTCATAATTCAAACACTCGATCTAGTTTTACCTTGAAACTTCAGACACATAGATCTGCAACTGCTTCAATGGAATTTTCCCAAAGGAAAAATTAATTTGTGAGAAGTACCATAAACCTAGTACTAAGCTGCCTATATCTATACATACACATAAAATCTATGATTGTAGAGTTTTGTGGCTGAACACGGTGTGAATGTATGGGGCCACCATCGGAGGAACAGAGGACGTGGACTCTGGAGGTTGTTCTTTCTCCTTATTATTCTTTGTCTTCCTGAACTGAAAGCCATTTTTCCTCAGTATCTTCCTCAAGGTCTCTCGAGATCCTTTGAAGTTGATTTCTTCCTTTAATATCTGCAAGAGTTTGTTGATGGTCGGCACTTCTTTCTTGAATGCATAGAACTCGTGTATCTTTCTGCGAATAACCTGAAGGTCGTATTCATCTACTTCTATCTTGCCCTTAGTTCTGACACGTTTCTTTGGGGTTTTCTTCAAAGTTTCAGGGTCTAGTAGACCTTGTTCGACCAGCCTCGCTTCTTTCACGATGTTCAAGACTGTGCGCTCCGATACTCCTGAAACGATATAGTCTTCAGATTAGACATGTTGATTTAATTGTTGTTGTGTAACGCTACTACTTAACCCTACGCTACTACTACGCAACCCGATGTGCAGCAGTTAGTTACCAAGTTGTGTGAATCATCGAATTTTACAGTTTATTTGTGTTAGATTGATTGACATACAATTTTAGAAATTTGTATAAAAATGTATACAGATAAATATTATTACTTTATGATACGTAATGAATCAGTCAATCAATTTATTTCCATAAAATATAAATTAATAAAATTAATATACTGCTACTTCGAATGAGCAAGAGGTTTCGATTTCTGGGTCGGGCAAAGTATTATTGGAATGTTTTAGACAATTTATAAGTAGTAGCAGAGTCTGGAATTATGCCTGGTATAATTATAGCAATAGGGTCATCCCTATTATATGGGGCTAATAACATTACATGTGAGAAGAGGGTGTTCTATGCCATTATGTACGCCTCTGTCTACTCATTCAGGAATAAAAGGTGTGACGGTATAAATAAGTTCTACTTAGGCAGCAGCTTGATCAATTAATCGCAATCGCAATAATTATCGCAACTAGGGTCGGGCAAAGTGTTATAATGCGTTTAGAGCTCATAATGATCAGCTTTAATCATTAAGGGACTAAAATATAATTCGAATTTTCGAAAGATTTTGTAATAGCATATGGTATTGAATTGTGGTTAGTATTATGGGAATATGAGTCATAACGTAACATGGTGTTCATATGGGTGTGTTAGGTCGAAAACATACTTATATTTTACTAATACTTTCAGGGACCAATAAGGTACTGTTACACTTGCTCTAAAATAACATGTTCATAGGCTTTCTCTTGAGCATGCTCAAAAATGTTCAAAAATCAAAAGCATGTTAATTTGCAAACACGCCTGAAATGATCATGCCCAACATTCTGCCACATAGGCAAAGTGACAAATGCTCAATTTAAACTGTCAAACACAAAGCGGTCACCGGTGACCGCAACGTATTGTTCTTTAATTGTGTCTATAATGATGGTAATCAACGAGTTAAGCATACTTTTATGCTTGAAATTATTAAATGTAACGGTAGTTACCTTTATTATTCTATATTATAAAAACCTTAACTGACGAGCATGCATGAAAAGATTATTGACTGTTGATGAAGCGAAAGTGGTATGTAGGAATCGTAGTATTCCCTAGTCTCTGCCTACCCCCATGGGAAATAGGCATGAAGTTATGTATGTATGTATGTATTATAAAAACCAGTTCACAGAATTGCAACCACAATCTAGTACAAAATGCTGACCTTAGTACCAGAAAGAGATTATTTAGCAAAAATAATGCATACAATACACATCGCATAAGTAAGAAATATAATGTAAATATATTCGCTACCTCATATTATTCTCACCAGACTATTTTGAAATTTAAAATAAGCTTTATCAGGTAGCATATCAAGTGCGGAGTTGGATACAATAGCGGGGCAAGGGTAACTAATATGGTAACAATAGAGTATTTTAAGTTCGCAATGAATAATTTGGTGTACAATGAATACGACAGGGAGCGAATAATAGCAGTGCAATCTATACATCTCTTCTTGTCGTTTGACAGAAGTAGATTTCAGCAAGACACCATCATGTCTTGTCTTTTGTATCACATAAAGCAAAGGTCAAGAGGTTAAACCGCATCGTTTCATAGATATTAAAATTAAATTATTGATATTCTAAGATATATTATATGAGGATATTCGTCTCTTTTCTTTGTTGTAGCTGTATTTGTAACCAATTAAAATGATTTGTTACTTTGAAATGCTCAATTAGACCATAATAATGGTACTGTGGGTCTAGAATTGGAGATTGATATGGCCAATAGGTACCGGCTTAGCATTTTTATGTGCTGTTACATACCTGCTCAGCATAGGTAATAAAATTTAATATAGATATGTATTGTGATAAATGTAGGCCAGATAGTTCAATAATAATTCGCAATTACCAGATAGAATTTTCTGCTTATAACTCAATGTTGACTAAACAAACAAAATACATTTCAAATATAATGTTATTGAGAAACCATTTGCTAACAAAGGCACAAAAAGTAAGAGGCAAGGCATCAGAAAATAGTCTAATAAAATCGCAAATTTCAGCCAAACGCAAAAACAACATTATTACATCTATTTAGAATACAAAATTTTAAAATAATTACAACGTTAACGAGCATTAATTTCATGAAATATAAGTTTACGAACCTGTAGCTGCGGAAACCCGTACATACACTTTACTGAGCGGTATTATCGGTACTTGCATGCGTTTCTCCTCGTCCATAAACTCCTTTACTTTCAATATTATTTCCCGAACCTCACTCGTTATATTTTTCGGCATTTTGCAATACGACTGTTGTGGTTTCTCAAAACAAAAACACTACAAGAAGCCTCGCTTTTGGCCAATTTTTGACTTTTGTCAGCGTGACGTTTTATTTGACATGGCCGCCATTGGACAATATGGCCGATCGACTTTTATTTCGTTCGGATACGCTTATGAATTCCGCTTTTCTGTCTAATGCAGTTATGAATGAATGAGTAACGTAGCAATCTACGAATGTATAATAAAATTCACATGATTTTTACAGTACATTCATAGATTGTTTTGAAGGGCTTACTTTATTTCAGACGCGCTGTAAATTAAACTTGTCTTTTTTTCCTTTATAGTCTGTAAAATGTAGAATGATCACTGAGCTAAAGTTTTGAATTTAGTAGTACCTAGTTGTAGTTATGCTTTAAATGCTTACATTTAACAATAATTAATTAATGTTATGTATAAGAAAACACAGAAAATGTATAGAAAAGAAAACAATACAAAAAATATTAAACTGAATTCCACACTTTAACAGTATATTTAATTTTATTGTATATTTTAATATCATAACATCACAAATATATGTATATTTGAGTACGTAACGTTATCTAAATTGTAAAATAACAGTGAATAAATCAAATTCAATGTTTCACTTATTCATGCAAAATTCTTTACGATAACTTAAATACATCCTTATTAACTTATATTAACATCCTAGGAAAGGTAGTATAAATGCAGTTTTACATATAAGTCCCAGAGATCATCCTACATTTTACGGACTGTACAAAACTTTTAACTGTTGCCGAAAGATGGCACGGATAGCGGAAGGTTATTGTGGTAAAAAAAATGGCGCGTGTCGTTCGTTTATTATTAAGTAGGTAGGTACCCAATAACAATAGTTCAGTATCCAATGAACACTGATTTAAGTTATCAAACTGTTGTAGGTTTATTATTTCGTAAAAAAACTATTATTAGCACCAAAATAGCACCTCCGGTCGGGGTCTAATAACTTGTTCTAAAGTGGAGAGTTACTTTATACCTTCTTTATTAATTAAACAATACCTAGACTTACTTTAGTGGTATTGTGAAATTCAATTGAGTTTTATTTTAGATGTACCTGTGTCCACTTCAACCTGCCTGTTTTGCAAATTAATCTATAGATGACGCTCGCAGCTTCGGTGTACGAGTGCTGTGTTTCCGATGTTTTAATTTTCTTATAAGACAATGGCAGAGTTTAATCTGGTATTTTAGTAAGTATGTTGAGTATATTTCGTAGCCTATTTAAAAAATATCATCATCATCATCATCATCAACAGCTTATAAATTCCCACTGCTGAGCAAAGCCTCTTCTCACACGGAGAAGGTTAGAGCATTAATCACCACGCTTGCTCAATGCGGGTTGGCGATTTCAAACTTATAATTATAAATTATAAGCCCAGGTTTCCTCACGATGTTTTTCCTTCACCGTTTGTCAGTGGTGTGTAAATAATCTTAGAAAGCACATATAACTCGGAAGAAGTCACATTGGTGCTTGCCGTTGATAAAAAAGAAATGACTTCAAAAACATTTCCGTAAATATCGTCTCTCCGTGGTAAAGAGTATAGTAAGTATAGGAGAACTCCATGGTCACACCTTGATTTTGACTGTTTTTGAACTTGCATGTCAATATGTGAATAAATATTTCGTGTTGAGATATTACGCGGTAGTACTTACATAAACATCTTTGTGAATCTTTTGGATCAATAAAACTTAAAATATGTTTCAACTTCGTGAACATTTAGATTCATATCATTACCATAAGTGCATAATTATACCAGAAAAAGATGTCTTGGATGTCGATATTGTCGGGACTAATCGGATCGCGAACTTCAGACGATGGTGGAATGATCTCTTTCTACTCTCATACGAGTGCGATAAATACAAGGGCTTCTACTCAAGTTCCAACGCACTAAGAATGGAAAGATACAGGCAGTTTCGAAAACACAAAAACTGCATACATCCTTTGAGTAAATTCAGGTAAGGGAACCATTACAGGGTTTTTTACTTACTTATTTATCTGTATTTCTCATTATCTTAATGAAATCTTTTTCAGATACTACTGGGATTTCATAATACTATACGTATTCGTTACTAACAAATTAATTACACGATTAACGTCCAATTTTCTCTACGATCGATTACCAATATCATTCTACTTATTTGGGGCATTTTTGGAACTGGTTGTCTTCGCAGGCTTGTACGTGGACATTGTTACTGGGTACATTGACATAGAAAGTAGAAGAGTCGTCTTAAGTAGGAAGAAAGCTATATTAAATTACTGTGAAAAAAAATTGTTTCTCCACGTTGCGTCAGCTGTTCCTTTGCACTGGTTGATGTTTCTTAGATATGGAGAGAACATTACCTGCGGTCTGTGTAAGTGTAACAAATTCATCTGCGCTCTCAAGATCATCGATTGCTTCAGCTTATTCCGGGTGATCGAGACCTCCACCTGCTGGAGCCGCAAGCGGTACTCTAAAGTACAGGAGAGTCTCTGTAAGTTTCTGAGGATCGGAACAGTGACTTTCGCCACTCTGATTCAGTTGACTGAACTGAGCGATGTCTTCACTTTATTGATGTTTTTCTATAATGGTGAAGTCGATGAGGAATCCATATTGAGCTTTAGAGCGGGGTTAAAGTACGGTTGGAACGGCGTAGGAAACTTTATGTTTTTTATGTTTGATATCGGCAAAATGCTGAAGCCATTAACTCGAATAACGCAGATTAACGCAACTGTGGAGCGCTTCGTTCTAGATAAATTATTCTCATTTTTGGGATTCATTATAACGTATGTTTTTTACGCTTGGGCTATGGTGGAGTGCTTTTCTTTCCTCACTTTTGTGATATCTGCAGAAAGCCAAAGAATGACTTCGAAGCAGAAGACTATGAATGTATTAGAAAGCCTTCAAGTGTCTGATAGGTTGAGTGAGAAAGTTTCTGATTATTTCAAATACAAGTCGTCAGCGCTAAGATTGACTGAAGCTCGAAATGGACTTTATGTAGTGCTGCCAACAATATTGAAAAACGAAATAAATTTAAATTGTTACTTTAATATTATTCTGCGGATCCCATTGTTCAGTCAGTGGCCGATACCAGTATTAGAACAGTTGACTATTATGCTGAAGAGGAAAGAATATATGATCAACGATATGGTGACTGTAGTAAGTATATATCTTCAGTGATGGAATCATAATTATATTACATAAGTAGCAGAACTGAGAACCTGAATACCACAACTTTAATTTTAATACAAGAGTTGCATAAAAATGTAATCTCACATCGAATCTGGTCAGATGTAAGCATGATGCGCCAATTAGGTACTTAAAGAAACCTACAGTATCTCACTGGACTTTTCCTTACACAACATCCAGGCTAAAGTGTCAGGAGAGGGTCTGATGATAGTCCACGACGGAGTGCTGGCAGTCTACTCAAGCACCAACAAGGAGCTAGGGCACCTGATCGACGGAGACTACTTCGGAGCCTTGTCACTAGTCACCGACAAAGAAGTTTACATGACTTACGTGGTCGCTGTGACAAATGCTACTGTAAGACTTTCAGTTTTTTTGTTACATAAAGTTATATCATTATCATCGGCCCGTGATATACATAGTTCTCTAGTCTCCACGGTGGGCAGGTGGATTGGAGATCAGTTTAAAGAGGTCAGATTTATCAGAGAGCGCTGTTGTCCAGTTTCTATTAAATGTGTAGTCTCTGTCTTATGACATCGTGGAAAAAGTAGGTGTGGGGACAAATTAATGTATTCTACTATTTAGTGTGGGAGAGCCATGCTTCGGCACGAATGCGCCGTCGTGGGTGAGGTTCCAGCGGCCTAATTAACCCCTCTTCTTCTTCCCCAGTCTCTATATTACCCTGATTCCCCATCAATCCTCAAATTCTTAACCCAGAAAAGGCCGAAAACGCACTTGTGTTCCAGGTGACTATAGGCGACGCCAATTGCTTACTATCAGGTGATCGGTTTATCGGATTATCCCATAAAAAAAAAATTCTGCTGTCATTATACAATTTGTGTTGTTTGTAGATTCTCTTTTTGGGTAAGATGGAATTCAGAATGTACATGAAGGATCACCCACAACTGTTCTATGGTTTTGAGATGGATTTGAAGAAGAGGTACAGAGATCGCGCTCGTAATCAAGATGACTCGTCGATTGGTTCAGTACGTTCGCAGTAATCTGTACATGCTTTTAAAGTTCACTTTAGAAGTACTACGATCAGTTTTGCCGTATGTTATAGTTTAAAGTTTTTATTTTCTGATAACACAGGAATCTGGTACTTATAGTTTCACTTAATTATAGGATTTAGAAAATGATATGTCTAAGCGATTTAATGAACGTGATGTTTTTGAACAAGCTAGAATGATATTTTTTTTTGTAACATAATATGAGCGATCTTCAAAGGTAGTCCTGTAAGATTTCTATTAGTATAGTTCTTATGGCATAGCTTTTAATATTATTTATATCTGTAGTAAGTGGTGCCAAAGCGCTGGCCGTAAAAGCTTGAAATTGACGTTCAATAAAAAGATAATGGTAAAAGTAATGTCTTTTTTTAACTGTAAGGGAAGCTTGCATCACCACGAAAGGAATGAATGGAATGATAGAAGTCTGGCATGAAAGAAAGTCTTGCGTTAATTCATCATGTAAGTGATGTTATCCTCACCCCATTTTCACAATTTTTGAATCCCTGGCTCCCAAAAAGCTAGCGACGAGTTACGCGGTGTCCTGCGTGAGCGACGAACTCGACGCGACGCGACGCTACGAACGCTACAGTCTGCGGCGAGACGCGACGTAACGCGCACTTGTTTTGAGGGCGACTAGATCCGACAACACGAACTATAACATTTTCAAGCAAAATTTGTACTATACTTCTCCATGATTCGAGAAGTAATGACCAAAATAACGTAGGAAATTTGTCGCGTATAGCATCGCGTCGCATTACGTCGCGCCGTATTGCGTCGCGTCGCGTCGCGTTCGTCGCTCACGCAGGACACCGCGTTACAAGTCCGTTCCTTGTAACTCGTCGTGTGCAGGTATCCATGGGCGGCGCTGATTGCTTACCATCAGGTCATACGTCTACTCGTTAGCCGCTCTTTACCATAAAAACAATTCTATGTGGTATTGTAAAAAGGCTTTTAAATAACGAAAACAATGCTATGTCCATTTTTATTTCTGAAAAACAAACCAACATAGTTTTGCAAAATACTTGCAACTTAGTTTTCTTCTATTACTTTCTAAGTAATTAAATACTAGTGAACTTATAGATATTTTAAAAATAAATTAAACAAGGTGTTGTTTCTTACTTTAGGAGCATTAGCACCTACTTTGTTGACGAAACCTTTTCCAATAGTCTTAAAAATAAATAGATCAGATTTATTACAGGTACTGTAAGGTTATAAATAGACGAATCGCATTTTAACTGCAATCCAACCGCAAATTGCATTTCGGATGCAGTCTGAACGCAGTTGACATGAATTGGGTTGGATTGCAGCTGAAATGCGGTCCGTCTGTATAGAGCCTTACACATGTTCTGAAATAGCTTGCATGGTTTTATTGAGCATGGAAGACATGTTCAAAAATAAAACGTCTGTCGATTTGCAAACATACCTGTGCCTTTAGCCAAACGCCACTTAACGCTTGTCTACAGAGAGTAGAAAACTAAATGTATGGGGATGACACTATCAATTGTCAAAATTTACGTCAATCCCATATAAATTAGTTTTCTACTCTACAAGTAGACAAGTGCTAAATGGCATTTGGCTACAGCTGCTGGAATGAGCTTGCCAATTTTGAGCAATATTTTGACACATATGCCATTAGCAAGTGTTTAATTAAACCATGCTTTTAGGCTTCATTAGTATGTGTATCAGTACCTCATGAGTACTGATTGACTATCCTGAATATGGAAGTTCATATTCAACAAGAGGTTGCTGACCGAGGGCAGATCTCTGATATCGATCGGTTTTGTTGATATTTTCTTGTGTTATCTTATAATGCTCCACAATCTGCGTTTTTATTTGCCAAAAATACTTCACATGCTTCTTCATCAGCTCGCGAAATTTTTTTTTCTCGAGCAGCAGTATCTGAAATATTTATAAGAGATCAGATTGAAATGTTATGTCTTACCCATTGCTGCCAGCAAGTAGCAGGAGGCAGCAATGTAGTAGTACCTCATCGAGTCCAATTTAGAACTGTGTTGTTACTAAAATAAAATAACGCTCTATCCAAAGCAAAGGGATAATGTGTAACGAAAAGGAAAGTAGCCTTTCTAATAATAGGGCAATTATAGAGACATATTATACTATAGATGTATATTTTTAAAATCTATATATGAAAAGGAAGTCGTGTTAGCTACACTATTTCTCACTCAAGAACAGCTACATCGATTCGGCAGAAAACTGGTGAGGTAGCTTAGGGGAGCTAAGATACTTATATCCAAGATTTTTTCGAAAATCCTACAGGAACGGGACATAGTGGATTGCGCGAACGAAGTCGCAGGCAGAAGATAGTATTTGATAAAACTCGTCGAAAGAAATTCTGAATTAGGTTTGCGAAGTTAATGGAACTGTGGCGACATATGTCACACGTCAAATGACGGCATGACAGCTCACGCACATAGACTGTCGATAAAACAAATCAACGGATGACGTCACGAAAATCCTAAATCGCATGCCAAGTTTATATGCGAATTAAAGCGGATAGAAAATCCCAACGAACAACAGTAACTGTTGGGCAAAAAACCCGCCAGGCGCAATTATCTCGCCTGGTCGGAGGATCGTCCTTTTCCAATCTTAGGGAACTATACACTCTGTTCCTTAAAGAATCAATAAGCGAGTACGCATCAAACTTACTGAACAAGCTCTGATGGAGACCACGAAAGACAGACAGCGTTCGTTGATGGTGACCAGAGACAGTCCTGCGAAGTAGTCTCCATCTATCAGATGTCCCTCTTCTTTTTCATCATTGGAGTACACCGCGAGCTCCCCATTTTCCACTATCATCATCCCTTCAGCTGGAACCAATGCCTGAATACAAAAAAACCTTTATGCAACTAACTTTTAGCCACTCTTATATTCGCATTTTGGCATTTCCACTTGATTGGTTAAATTATTGGACAACGAACAGGAAACATTAAGAACGCGCGAAGCTGAAATTTGGAAGGTACGTTCCGTGGACAGTGTTGTAGTAAAATTATCAAGAATATTTATTATATTACGAGAGAATTTTCGTAAGGAGAGATAGACCTATAATTTTTTTTAAATTAACTCAACCATTATATATGCGTATAGCAATAAGACTCACTTGTGTTACGATGGCGTTACTCATAAACATTTCTTTTCTCAACAGTAATACTATCTCCTCTAACAGCGGCAGTGGCACTTGACAGAAATAAGGAATTCTCATCATGTACTTCATATACGAGTGTAACTTAATTTCATTCTTCAGAACATTTGGCATGTTCATATACAACTTGTTTGTCTTTTCAATTATATACGGTTTGGTCGGTGCATACTTGAAGTATTGTCGTAACCTGGAACTTAGTTCATTAGATATTTGTCGAGTTGATAACATCGTCAGGGCTCTGTGCCGTAGTTTCATGTGTAAGTCTTTCGGGTGAATTAGTGTATTAACCAAGGAGAAACATTCCTTAAAACTCCAAAAATAAAAGAACGTCGCGAGAGCGTAAGCCAGTAACGCACTTATTTTATCCAAATAGTATACTTTTTCTCTGATACCGTAACTATATAACTGCAACGACTTGAAAATTCTATTAATCTCATAGCAAACGTAGAAGTAGTTAGTAGACATCTGCTTATTAACGTTTCCATATTTGAAGATGGTTCTGATCCCCAAAAACGAGGTCTCTGCTATGCTGCCCGTGTGGAAAGCTACAAGCAAAATGGCGACATCACTTATATCATAATACTGGCACATGGTCATCATACCAATCACTCCGATCCTTAAGAACTTGAAGAGGTATTTATATTGAATTTTGCTCGCAGTATGAAGTTTTTCTGTCCAGAAAGTGGATGTTTCATACACCCGGTAGAGACTGAATACACTAATGATCTTCAGGGCACAGATGAATTTGTTAGCTTTACACAAGCCACATGTAATGTTAGTTCCGTATTTGAAAAACATGAACCAGTGCAGGGGTATAGCAGACGCGACGTGCAAGAACATCTTATAAGTGCAGAAGTGGAGTAACGAGTCGTGTGAATCCAAGACTACGCGCTTAGCTTTGTGGTTGATATATCCAGTCTTCAGGCTTACGTACAGGTCCATGATGATAATCATATCCAGAAAAGCTCCTAGGTAATACGAGTATATCGACATACTGTCGAAAATAAACGAGGACAGGAATCTGAATAGTATCTTGTTCACGATAAACACTTGCAACATCAGAAAGTCCCAGAAGCTTCTGAAATTTAATAGTGGTCGTTTGGTATAAATGGTAAAAAGTATGTTTTTTATTATGTAAATAAATTCTAATATTCCCATTTTATCTCTTTTATTCCAATTTGCCAGTTAGAATAAAGTTTGTGATTTTTCTGTAACCATTATTTGGTCGTAAAAAATAGATTTACCTGAACTTGCTCATCGGATGGATACGACTCCTGTATTTGCGGAACTGTCTGAATCTTTCTACTCTGATGGCGTGGGTGCTGACGTAGAAACCTCTACATTTCCCTGAGGTGTAAGACAGGAGGAACAGGTCCTGCCACCAGCGCTGGAAGCGGGCCACACACCCGGTCCCAACAATGTCCGTCTCCAGGACATCCTTCTCAGGGATGATGACGCAGGTGTGATGAAAATACGAATTGTAGTAATCGCCGTGTTCATTCATAATTATAAAGATGCTATGGTAAATTTCCCCTTACACTCTTTGGGTAAATCGTGACTTGATCGTGAGTGACTCGTGTTGTGTCATGCAATGTCAAGTTTGTTGTATACGTAGAAATGACGTAGACAGAGAATATAGATATATCTCTATTCTGTCTACGGTTGTCTACTTATTAAACTCTTTGGTTTGTTGTCTGTAAGTCATAGAGTATCTATAATCATTACAGGCTATATCGAGTTCATCTATACTATCTATACTAATATTTTAAAGAGGAAAGATTTGTACCTATTTTTGTATGTTTGTAATGAATAGGCTCAAAAAGTACTGGGCCGATTTAAAAAATTCTTTCACCAATAGAATGCTACATTCTTCCAATTTGACATAGGCTACATTTCAAAACCGAACAATGGTCCACCGGTAGAAGCTTACGCCATAAAAATAATTTGTATAAGTACTAGAATTTACGATGGTCACCCACAAAGACCAGACGTACATACATAATACATTGTGACAGGCCGTCGTTGGTACGAACAGAATCGTATTTTCATCTAATTTCATTATAATGCGCATTTGCAATGTAGAAATGGTCACCTGGTATACGTGCCTCCTTGTTTAGTAAGGCAATTGTACGTATTTACGTAATACTGTTACGGAACCATGTTCAAGGTACTGCGATTTTTGTGATGAATAAAGATCGACGGGCATGTGTGGTTGGGCTGAGATTTTATTGTTGAGCGGTAGCGGAATTATGAGCGGTCGTGGGTTTTACATTTACATTTTTTATTAATGAGGTTAGAGAGATTTTTAGGCGTGCCACAACCTCCCAATATCACTGCAACTCCTGTAAGCCAGTTTCTATTGTAGATACAACCTTGAAAACACCGGAACACTGAAGTCCAATGCGTCCCAGGGACATGAATAACTGTCTTGGATCCCGTAACGAAATAAATTATAAGATATTATTATTAGAGGAGAAGAGAAAACGAGAAGAAGTTATTCTAGGCTGGGGCATGTCTACTAATATCTACAGCACCAAATGCGCTTATTACCGGACTAGTAAAACCGTTTCTTTAGTTCTTATCAGTTTCATAGATCAAAATTTCATAGACAAATTAAACCTCATCCTCAATAGGTTGAGGAGGTCTGGCGGTTCGGAACCGTGATAAATTGACTGTCTAAGTAACCTAAAAAACATCGTAACACTCTCAACATTAAACTCACGAAATAAGATTTAATATTTTTACTTTTAGAATAAAAGACATGACGTCATTTATTTTATAGTATTCATGTTCAGGACATTGCTCATCCTGTTTGAAGGGACGCGTTCTGTTAAAGTTTATTTTACATAGGTACCTCGCTTGTCGCTCTTGACGTCTTCCAGGCCGCACCCGAACGTGTCAGAAGCAATTATCTTCATCAGCCCACATCATTGCGTTGCGGTCCCTTGATCTCATTATATCATTCACATCATCATATCTGTGTGACAGCTCTTTTACGGAAACGTAACCATAACTACTTTTAGGAAAAACAGGTTCATTTACAACCACTTGCGTTCTAAATCAGACCTTATTGTCAGGAAGTAAGTGTCGTTTGATAGTGCTTCAACGATACCTTCGTTTAGTATGCTGGGTCAGTCACATACGGTTCGATTTTGCGAAATACAATTTATGTGTTTTCACTAAAATAACTTGCGACGGTTTTCGGTTTTACCTGAATAAATAAGTGTATGGAAATCGGTATGTACTTAATGGGTATATTATTTTATTTATTTTGGGAAAGTGACACATTACATTATTTAATAATGTGTTGCATAAGTCAATAATACAAATAATACATCTGTTAATCCATTTGTTAGTCTACGATCAGGGGGCTTACTCTTGAATCCAGTTCCGTTCAATCAACATTGGTATTGTAAAATTTCGTACTCTTGAGTTGCAACACTAGCGCCCATTGCATACGTATTGCGTGGATGTTGAGGAAACTAAATAGTATTGAGTTTAGCTTTATATTCCGTACTCTGAATGCTATTTTAACTGCTACTATAGGGGTTGTATAGTTTTGGCATTGAATAATTATTGAGATTTTATGGGACTGAATTTGTATTGACATCGAGATTGGTTTCAAGAGTAAGTACCCTGATTTGGACTATAGCTACGGTCTGTATAGGTATAAAAAACCGAATTCAAAAACCAAAAACTAATAACAAACAAAAAGTAAAAAAATAACTATTATTAGTACTGATATGTTACGCACCCACTGATAGGTTAGAAGTCGGCGCCATAAGTTCTATATAAAATTATTCATTAAAACCTTAATAAATACCTAATTTAAAATTTTGTAGCCATTAAGTTATATCATTATGATATGACCTTATGGCACTAGGTGTAAACTCCTCATCAATAGAAATTAATCAAACCCAAATATTAGGTAGTTAATATAAACCGTTGAGGAGTTCTCTCGACTATCTGTCGGCTCCATCATCAGGTCGACTCCAGACCCTTATCAAATTGTAGTGTTTAAAAATCCTAATTGAAAAACATAATAGCACTACTCGCCCCTACAATTTTCGAAAGTTTCCCTCGGTTTCCCTAGGATTCTATCATCAGATCCTGACCTCATAGAAATGGGACTATTTAGGGAGCATACCCTTTCAACCAAAACAAGAATTTTGGAAATCGGTTCACAAATGGCTGAGTAATCGGCGAACAAACAAAAAAAAATCAACCGAACATAGTACCTTCTCCTTTTTTGAAGTTGGTAAAAATTACCTACAAAAAATGCTACTTAATTTAAATCATTTGGTATCTAATGAATCTCAAAAATTTTATTTAAAATTTTTGTATAATATAATCTTGAATCTTAAAAAATATATTTTATAAAAGGTTTTGAACACCTAATTTTTTCCTATGATTTAAATAACAAAATATTCGACAAAGAATGTCCTTCTCGAAATTCTTACAGCGGATCGAGGCGCCCCGGCCTGGAGTGAAAAATTTGAAGATTTCCAAAATGTCTCGAACAGGAATGTATCGAGAGCGTCTCCCACGCTTCGATAAATATTTCGTTACAAAGTCCCAATTTTTTTGGAAAATATTTTTTTATTTTTTTGCGTTTAAGAATTTTTAACAGTCCACTAAAAGGTATTTATTTTATTATTTTTCAGTTGATCACACCCACTGCTTAGAAATAGTTGCCTAGGTTACTTACGGAGCCGCGGAGGACTTAACGGGTTGCCGCCTCAAAATTTGTATGAAAAGGGACACCTCTGGTGATTTGGGAAAAAATGGTGTAAAATTGAGAGAGAATTTTTACAATGTTATCGGTCCACCAAGCGGGGGACCTGCCTACGCCATATCTTCCAATCTGTGGTCTCCGCCCGAGTACTTTCTTGGCCCATCGGCCGTCAGTCCTTTTGCGAGCTATACGTCGCTAAATTTTTCTTCTCCTCTTATAATATCTTCTGATTCACTTCGTTGCGGGAACCAAGACAGTTATTCATGTCCCTGCGACGCGCCGGACTTCAGTGTTCCGGTGTTTTCATGGTTATATCTACTGTAGATCCTGGCTTACAGGAGTTGCAGCGGTTTTGAGAGATTGTGGCGGGCTTGTCCCATAAAAATATTTCGGTAACTTCAGTTCTTTGGTGAACTTTATCATTCTGGATTTGCAAAAAAAATTGAGGTCGCACTTGGCACCACAAAGTCAATGTCAAAGCGATTATTTCAATCAATCCTTAATAAGGCACTTTTGAAACGTCAAAAATGTAATTGTCCGTCCGTCTGTCTGTCAGTGAAGCCAGGAGCTCTTTCCAAAGTGTAATCACGAATGGAGATGACTACTTTTAAAAAAATAGTTATGGTTACTCTTTTAAAAAATGATTTCTACAGTCTCATCGATAAATAATCTGAACCTTTGATACACCTAAAAATTAAAACATAGAAAGTACAAAAACACGTGTTTTAAAGTGTTGGATAAAAATCTTTCTTTAATCGTACGTGGCACCATGTATAGTGTCAAGTGCCCACTAAGTAATGCTGGACATAGTATATGGGATGCATATTGACTTCTAAATGTAAGGAGAGGTGTCAGCCGCATAGTTAATTGTTAGAAATCCGTATTTTACTCGATTGGTCACCAAAAAGTCGAGCCTAATGAAGTCATTGGTTTAAAGGTATCAGTTTGTATTTTGTATACATTTACCTTTTTATTGAGTATACCTCTACATATAGTATACTCGCATCGATGTTTCAAAGGAACTGAGAGGTATTAAGTAAACCAAACCTATAAGAAAAGAGCGTATGCCTTTTTAAAAGGCCGGCAACGCACCTGTGACTCCTCTGGTGTTGCGGGTGTCCATCGGCGGCGCTGATCGCTTACCATCAGGTGATCCATCTGCTCATTTGCCTCCTATTCCATAAAAAAAGGTATTCCAGAGTTAAATAATGGTAGCAAAGCATTATTAATTGGGTCTAAAAATCAAAATTTTGTTACTTCTTACTAGCGTTCTTTTCCATAGAGTCCTTAGTTAATGGAAATTTTAATTTTTCGAATTAAAAAGTCAAGAAATAATCAGATAAAATACAAATTAGCTTCTGCTCCAAAAAGTACCAGGAGCGCAGTAATAAACAGGAGCGTAAAGACAGATGTCATACATTAATTATCATCGATATGCCTAACACACTTTATGCTTCCTTAAAAATCACTATGCAAATAAGGTAGATTACGTGAATATCATTAGGTACTGTTATTTAAAACAGGGAGGTTTTTTTACAAGCCACCGTTTAAGACTTAAGATTTTTCCATTGGTTGTAAAATCCAAATTTTATTTACTTGTGTTGTGTTGTGTCGTACTATGGTGTCCTTATATGGAGAAAACTGAAAATCCCAGATTATTTAACTTATAAAGCAAAAAAAATCTTCTTACATCTCTTAGTTTCTGCTCCAAAAAGTACCAGGGGCGTAGAAATGAACAGGAGCGTAAAGACACATGCCATACATAAACT